GTCTACACCATAGATATATATACATATCTATGGTCTACACTGGATGCGGCGCGGCACGACACGACAAATCCCCGACAGAAAACTGCTACTGCAATCTATTTATGACTTATTGACACACTTTGTCGTGTCCAGTGTACTAGACAGACTTTAGCTGTTGCGGCGCAGACACGGTGTTACTCACCTATCGAGAAGAAACAAAACAACCTCGGCGTCCGATCGCAGGCCTTCCGCTCCTTGAGTTCTCTCCAGTGCTGGAAAGCTGATCCGATATTTACATGGGTCCTACTTCTTGCCTTATTGCCTTAAGCCTTCTTTTGTTCCGCAGACGTTTTCCTCTTTTGTTTTTTATCCGCCATCTCTATCTTTCTGTCGCTCGGCTCGGCTAATGTCCATCCCGTGCACTGAACGCTCTCTCCTCTACATCATGAGTAGACACGCCCCTTACTGCTGATGGGCTACAAGTTTGTTTTGCTATTCGGCCCAAATCAGTTTTCTAAAGCGTTTTTGAAAAATCGCTTACCCCACCTTTAAATGATCCTCTATCTCACATGCAGTTTTGGAAAGTCTGTTTCGTTCTAGTCAGTCATTTTTTTTCTTAACGATACTCTCTTTTAGGTAGTGTTGGAAAAATTTATTCATTCCAGTGAACTGGTTTATTTGGATGTTAATTCATTTGGATGTATAATTGTATTGTTATATATTTAAAGGGTCATGAAACCCCAGACTGCTTTTTCTGAGATTTTAGCAGAGGTGTTTATGTTGCACATCATAGAAGACAATGTTAGCATCCGATAATTTTAACTGTTGAAGAAAACTGGTTAATCTTAAGCTTTTTTGCACTATTTTCATCTTCCGGGTTAAAAATCTACATTGTGTTGACGTTACAATTTGTGACGTGGCAATGGACTATATATAGTACATCAATGATGGGTCGGTGTCTATTAAATTATTAATGAACCTGCGTGTTCTTATCCTATGAGAAGACGCTTAGCTTAATTATTGACAACAGCATGTGTTGATTTGCTATGACAGACGTTTCAGACTGTGAGATGGCATAGCGCACATTAACTGAGAGAAACGTTAATGGATCGAAGAAGAGTGTTTGTTTTTGCTTTGTAATAAGAGTTCGGCACAAACGCGATTCATTCACTTGGTGAGCAAACCCGTTTTTACAGCTCTGTGACACAACCCATCAAAAGGCTTATATAAACGCCACAGAATAAGCCTTAAAAGTTCTCAGAGGTGCAACAGTGCATTCATATATATGTTTTCGATGCAGAGTGCAAATGGCTGTGCATTTATTTGTGTTTTTAACTCGATGGGAGCGAAATGAAACTGTCTGAACGCGAAGCTGTGTGTGTTGTCTGTCTCCCCTCTTCCCCCTCCTCCGCTCCGCTGCGCACCACGCCCACTTTTTTAGCATTTTTTAAAACTGTGGTGAGAACTAACGGGGGGTATGAAACGGGGGGTTTCATGACCCTTTAAAGTGGAAGTGAAGCAGTCAGTTAAGTTAACATTATTTAGTAAAGTCAATGAAACAGAAGTAGCGACACATCTTTTCTTCAGTATCGTGACATACGTCTGAGTAAAACAGGTTATTAAAAAGAAAAGCTGTAGGACGGTGCTTTGGTTCTGTCCAGTGGTTGTTGATTGGATGAAGGCAGATCTAAATATGATCTTGCAGTCAATTGTAATAAAAGGGCAGGTTTAAGTGGACTAAATTATTGGAGAAGTCCATCATACGTGAACAGAAAGAAGTCTGTCATTTCACTAGACATTTTTATTTCAAGGTCAAAATATGAAACGTGCATAGGTGAATGTTTATAGATAGTGTATTTCCATTTCATGGGTCTTTAGGAAGATTGTCCGTTTAAGTAGCTTTAATGTAGTTAGATAATGTTGTTATTATCTTGTAGTAAGATAAACCCACTATAGCGTTAAAAAGTAGCTTTCCCAAATTTTGATTCTAGATATCATTTAGTACAGTGAAATATCCTGAAATGCTACGTTATTTTTAGGGGATGTTAGTGAGCATTTTAGCTGAATATTGAAATAAGCTTAATTGTAAGTATTTTAGAGTGTTTCATAGAACGTTTAATTTTTCCAGTGCTCTGTTCTTCCCCCTGTGGCGACATGCTTCCATTTAGACCCTGAAATGAATTATATTTACTGTTTGAGGGATGTTATTGTTCATCTCAGACAAGCAGCGGTTGGGTTTGAACACACTCAGTCAGACCACTGCAATGTGTCTGACCTTTTATTCCCATTGACGGATGAGGTATTGGCTCAAAAGAAAATGAGATATTTCCAGCGTTCTCTTTGACAGGCATACAAATGAACGAATCAAACAGCATGATTCCACTTAGCTGGATCAGTATTCCAGCATAGTGAGCAAGAGATCATAAAGCTTCATGGAGAATATGAAAATTCTGCCTCAAAGATTTGTTGGGAATTTTTTTTTTCTCTTCTTCCTGTGCAGCGAGCATAGGATGGAATGATCAGAACTATTGCTTTAGTTATTCCATATAATAGCTCAATGCGCTTTGTCTTTATAGTGTCAGTTGACTTAATAAGGGGCTGCTTCTATCATCATCCGTCACTCTGCCCTTGATAAGACCTCTGACATCCCTCTCGAGTGTTATTCATAAAGACTCGCGCACAAATGAGCACATAGCTCTAGGCTATGTCCGAATTCCTGTACTACATTTCAAAGTATGTTCTGAATTTGATCTTAAAGGGGTCATATGACATTGCTAAAAAAGATCATTATTTTGTGTATTTGGTGTAATGAAATGTTTATGCAGTTTAAGGTTCAAAAAACACATTATTTTCCACATAATGTACATAATGTATTGTTTCTCCTCTATGCCCTGCCTTTCTGAAACGCGTAGATTTTTTCAAAGCTCATATGAAGTACGCACTGTAGTATGCGGGTGTGTAGCATTAATGCATTCCTGGATATATGCTACAGGTCAAAAAACTTTTTTTGGAAAGAAAAATTCAAAAGATTTCTGTTTCAAATAAATGCCGTTTCTTACCTTCTAGGGATGTAACGATTAACCGCGAGCCGGTTGAAAATCGATTCAAATATGTGACGATTCAAATCGGTTGAGATGCTAAACAAATCGCGGTGAATCGATACATCCCTATTACCTTCTGTTCATCAAAAAATCCTGGAAAAAATATCACTGCTTCCATAAAACATATTAAGCAGCACAACTGTTTTCAATGTTGATAATAATAAGAAATATTACTTAAGCTCCAAATCAGCATATCAGACACTAAAGACTGGAGTAATGGTCTTTAACAGCTTTACCACCACAGTAGTAAATTACATTTAAAATATATGAAAATGCATAACAGTTATTTGAAATTGTAAAAATATTTCACAAAATGTATGTTTACTGTATTTTTGATCAAATAATTGTAGCCTTGGTGAGCAAAAGAGACTTCTTTCAAACACGCACACAAGCTTTTGAACGGTAGTATACTAATACTAACTACGTACTTAATTTTCCACATTTTTCCAACTTTTCTAATACGATGGTTCCTCAGATGATTCCTGAGCGGGTTGCACACTTCAGAAGATGCAGGTGTTGTTTACCCACTGTATTATCAATACTGAATTTTTGGAGATTGACATTTTCAAGTACTGCTGTTTGAATACTGAAGTATATATATTCGGACTCTAGTTCTGTTTTGGTTTGACCGTATTTTGGTTTATATCTAGGCCATGTGTATATGACCGTTATCCTCAAAAAACAGGCTAAAGACAGTTTGGAGGACTTGCCCAGTCGCTCATTCCAATCTGCTTTAAAGAAGCTTATACGGGCTTTACTGAATGGCTTCCCGAATGGGCAGATTTGCAGGGAACTGAACAATCTATGAGCAAATGAATGATTTCAAGAAAAGCATTCTTTCTAAGAACTAATATATGAGATGCCATGTGTCATATCTTGATCAGAAAAATGAATCGTTAATCAAGACACTGGGGAAGTGTGCTCAGCATGAAGCAAATTACCTGGATTAGCATAGCAAAATGCTGCATAATGTACCTTTACTGCTATGCGGAGTCTCAGTCAGAGAGAGATGCTTCTGTTAATTACAGTAGCGGTAAACAGAATGTGAATGAGACAGGGCTAAATGGAGCGGAGAGAATGGAGAAGCTAAAATGAAGTCTGATTTTTATATTCCTGTCATGTTTGTTTTGAATTTGCTGCTTGAATCTCTGACATTTGACTCCGTATGCACATGATGTCTGAATGGATGAGAGACGTTGGACTCCGGAAGTACTTTTTGACAAGTAAAAAGTCATGAATATAACAGATCTCAAATGGCCTATAATCAAATGGTTCTCTAACTTTTCAGGCCAAGAACCACATTCAATAGGCTATTCAAACCGAAGTTTTTCAAGTCTTCTGAAGTCATATGATGGAGAACAGATAACATTTAAGTAGAACAGCTTGCTTGGTTTAACTGTCGAATGACTAAAATGACCTAAAATGCCCATCCCTAGTAAACGGTGTACATGCTGTGGCACTCCGTGTACCACAGTTTGAGAAGCACTGATTTAGGACACAATTTGTAGTTGTGTTTTATTTGATGGATGTGCTTTTGGCAAAGGTGATTTGGTTCAAGCATAATTTGAGGGAAATTTAAACAGGCAGTGATAGTAAATTAGTATATTTTTTCAGATATTGTCTTCATTTTACATGATGGACTTTTTCCTGCAAATATAGGGTTTGAGGTTTATAAATACACGTCCTTACAAAAATGAACCATTGTAACCACAGTTTCCACTAAATTATCATGTGGTAAAACTGTGGTAACTTGCTATTAGCCACTGCTGTCATCCAAAAAAAATTAAAGTAAACAAAAGGACAGAAAAATTCTAAAATGGTTGGTTTATTGTTTGCAACAAATTTTATATTATTTTAGTTGCAAGAATAAATGTCACTTGCTGTGGTATTATTTACAGATGGTTCCCATGGTAATTTTTTTGTGATTGTGTGGATAATGTGTGTGACGTTATTGTGCAGCTCCTTTCAGAGCGACAGTCTGTTCACACTGATGACAGATATAGGTCACTTAACAAACATGAATGTGAGTTACAGTCAAGACTAAAACAAACAAAGCCTGATATCTGAATTTAGGCACTGACAGACATTTTGAAGGAATATGATCATATTGTTAAGCATGTGTCTTTTAATATCCTGAATTCTGATTGTTGCATCTTAAGTAGTATGGATGTAACGACTAACATCCATACTACTTAAGTATGGATGTACTTAAGTAGTATGGTAGTATGTACTTAAGTAGTATCGATTTGAATCGAAAATCGATTCAAATATGTGACGATTCAAATCGGTTGAGATGCCAAACAAATCGCGATACAATTGGAGTAGGAGTTTATATGAATGTATCTCTGAGGGGAACTGACTATCTTTAGAAAAGTTTACGTGGTATTTTCTTTTCATCTTGCCTCTGAACAATGCATATTAAAGTAGTGTTCAGCTCTGCTTTGTTTACAAAGGTAACCAAGGAAACACTGTATCATTGCTGTTAATAAGCGCAACCTGCTGTCAGAGAGTGAATCTGCGTTTCATTCAGCTCATCTGCTGTTTCGTTCAGATATGTTTTATGTAGCATAGTTCCCCAAAACTAAAGTCAGACCATTCTGTTTTTGCTTCAAATTTCGAAATTATATAGTCTAATTTAGATTAAAAACTACTGCATGTATGCTGCATCTTTGTTTGGATCATGATTAAAATCCAGTGGTTGCCTCTAATTTTAAATGGAAAGAGCACAGACAAAGCCTTAGTTTGTTCATATTAAG